GAGACTATAAAAATCTTCCAAGGAATGGGCTAACAATCCCATAGAAGAGGTGGTATTGATATCTAATCCCATAGGATTGGAAATAAAAATACTATTTTGTCCCTCATTTTATAAAATTAATTTAATATAAAAATAATTTTTAATATTAAAATAAAATAGTATAATAATATATTTATACCAAAATTATCAACATAAAATAATATACTACCAAAATATAATTTTAAATATTAAAATATATCAAAAACACCAAACGGAATTTGTGATATTTCATATAATTAATCCCCTCACTAAAATACATCACAAACAAACATAATTTTTCTTAGTCCCCCTCCCTTACCAACAATTCTTACACTAACAATCTCACCTAACCTAACTCTGAAAACAAATGGACCCTCTATTCTTTCATTTTTGAAGAATATAAATTGCCATTTATAACATTTAATCTACCTGATTTTAAGATAATTGTTAATTTATTTGAATAGAGGTGGAATTGAATGATTATTTCATTAGAATATTCATTCTCACATTTGATTCACTAAAAATAATTAAGAAAATACATTTTGATAAAATTATCATTCATCATTATAAGTAAATAATCATTCTATAATAAAAAGATTAAGAAATATATATTTTATTCCATTCTATATTCTATATATTAAGAAATAATCATTCTATATTTTATTCCATTCAAAAAGAAAGGGATGGGGCTGAAATTTGGGACTTCAGCCAACTTACAAAATTTTGGTCCATTGAACTTTAGGACTTCCCTTCTAATGTGGGAACTTTCAACTTTACTTCTAAAAAAGTTGAACTTAGGCCATACGATTCATTTCCACTTATGTGCCTATTTTAAGAAGGGTTAGTTATTAGACCATGATTGTGAACCTCAAAATATTCCCAATTGTCATTGGTCCAACCTCACATCTCCCCCTATAAATAGTGCAATGACATCAAACTCTCTCCCCCAGAATCACCCTCCCAGTCTGGCCCTGCATATTTGCAGGGCAATCGAAAGGATTACAAGACCCACCAATTATCTCACATCTTTCTCAACCTAATGGAAGCTGAATCAACCGCAACCACCACCGACACAGTCACCACGATCACCGTCATAAAAAATGGCAAGCAGTCCTCTCTCACTCGCAATGAAGACAAGAACAAGAAGAAGAGAGGCACATTCACCATCATCAAGGCGGCATTGTTCATGATGCGCCGCCGATCAGATCAGAAAACGAAGCCTCTTCAAATAGAGGTGGCTTCAAATGTCGTGCTGATGAGACTTGGATCAATGCGTCCTTTGCACCTCCAAGACAATCAATCACCGCCTTCCTCCATTCATCAGGCCTTGCCTTCATCACCGCTCAAAGAAGCGCCAGCATCACCACAACGGTCCTCCACCAGTTCTATGGATAGCATCAGCCAATATGCTTCGGCCACCAATCTCCAGGCACTTGACAGGGGAGGAGATCAGAGCCGATATTCTTCATCAGCAAATCTCCAAGAACTTGAGAACAGTGGATTAGAGAGCCAATATGGTTCATCCACAAATCTCCAGGCACGTGACGATAGATCGAAGAGTCGATATGCTTCTTCGCCAAATCTCCAGTCACTTGCCAAGGGATCGGAGAGCCAATATGCTTCTTCACCAAATCTCCATGCACTCGACAACGTATTGGAGAGTCGATATGCTTCTTCGCCGAATCTCCAGGCACTTGCCAAGGGATCGGAGAATGGATATGCCTCTTCGTCAAATCTCCAGGCACTTGATATAGGATTGGAGAGCCAATATGCTTCTTCGCCAGATCTCCAAGCACTTGCCAAGGGGTCAGAGAGTCAATATGCTTCTTTGCCAAATCTCCATGCACTTGATAAGGTAGCAGAGAGCCAATATGCTTCTTCGCTGAATCTCCAGGCACTTGCCAAGGGATCAGAGAGCCGATATGCTTCTTCGCCAAATCTCCAGGCACTTGCCAAGGGATTAGAGAGTCAATATGTTTCTTCGCCAAATCTCCAGGCATTTGCCAAGGGATCGGAGAGTCGATATGCTTCTATGCCAAATCTCCAGGCACTTGCCAAGGGATCGGAAAGCCGATATGCTTCGGCATTGAATCTCCAAGAACTTGATGATGATGAGAGTGATGCTAGAATCAACGATAATGGCGGAGATGAGATGATAGATGCAAAAGCCGAGGAGTTCATAGCACAGTTTTACCACCAAATAAGGGTTCAAGCGGTCGAACGTTACCATAAGACAAAGGGAAAGGCCAAGACATTGAGCGCATAGGCCAAGTATTCTTTCTTTTTTCTAAGTCTTCCCGTTTTCTACTTCGAAACACTCACAGTCAGCTATAATCTCAAGACCTATTTCAATGAACGTGAATGTTTGAATAGAATAATAAGAAGCTTTTGGAGACACAGAATCTAATGCCGAGGGGTAATTACATAATATTAGGCGTGCATGTCACATGCATGCATGCACGTACGTACTATATATCTTTGCACTTCTTTCTATTTAACCTTTCAATCTCTTTCTATTTTCAATATGATTTCGAATAAAGAAGGGAGGAAGTTGGAAGGAGGGAGGAAGGAAAAAGAGAAGTAAAAAGGGGTTCATGGGTTGGTGTAATTTCAATAATAAATTTTAAGTTTTATTTAAATTTATCTTTCTTTTTTCTTTTGTATTGTAGTTTGTACTTTTTTTTAATTGAAAAAAATCACTGAGCGAGAAAAATATTTAGAATGAGACAGGAAAAATTCTAGAATAGGCCAGTGTCTTCCTTGATTCTTTAAGTTTGTATGTTTCTTTTTTTATTTGGGGAGAGATGTTTTGGTTGGTGGAAACCTTATGGGATTCTTCTTAGTGAAAACAAAAAAAATGATTTTGTTTCTATATCTTCTGTATAACTTTGTTGAGTTGCTATTATTATATATGAAAGTGGTGATTTCTCCAATGTTTTATACTTAATTAGCCAAATTTTGTGTTGCAATTGCATCAGGACAGAATGGGGTAGCCTTGAATCACTATGTGATATTAGTTATATAATAACAACAATGATTGAGACCCTTTTTTTTAGAAACCCCCACAATTCCCTTTGATCTCCACCATTGATGGTGTGGGCCCTACACATACACGAGTGAGTCTCACACATATATCAATGGTTAAAATCCAAAAGAAGTTGTGAGAGTCCCAAAAAATGGGAGTCTCAAGCATTTTTCATATAATAATTCAAACCAATTACGCAAAGAAAATTTTTATGAGTGAGATATATTGACTTACTTTGTTAAGTAGTTGGAAACAAAATATGACCGACCCATTAGTATGTGTTGCATTTTTTCATTTGTTTGGAGTACAACGTAGACAATGCCATATGATACTATGAGGTATCTAATAATTTTTACAGTTTTTGGGACAAAATATGGCAACAAAATATTAGAAAAAATTACAAATAAGTATCACTTTTTCCTTCAAAATGTCATTCAATTTTTTCAACTTTCAATTTTTAGATAACTAAGTCCTATATTTTTTTAATTTCTCTCAAATAAGTTCAAGACTCCACAATAACATACTTTAATCCAATCATACCCTTCAAGATGGGAACAAATTGTTGTATTCATTTTGAAAGACTTTTGTGACAAAGTACACTAGCATTGCCTATAGTTTAAAAGTCGTATCACTTTAATATCTGACTTTTTAATTGACATATTTGATCATAAATTTTCAATCTTGTTCCAAAGAAGGACAATTAAGAAAATACTATTGCTCAATTTTAAGAACAAAGTCATCTATTTAATCAAATATAAACTAATTTAAAAAAATGTCAAAAAAATATTTTTGAATTTTTAAAAATTATTTCTACCCACCAAAAATAAAATTATGTAAAATTGATAAATCTTTTACGCTTTTATTTATTTATTTTACCAAATTAATTTTTATTATGTGTTTAGTTAATGATCATACAATGTGTGGTTGTTAAGCTTTTAATGTGTAATTAATATATTTAATATATGAAATGTTTTTAGTCTTAAATTTTTTGATTTAATTGATTGATTTAATAATGATATCAAAATTGTCGCCATATTTGAGTTTTGGAAAAATAGAATCTAATTTAATGAAAATAAAAATAGTCATCCATTACATGATCATTATCCAAATACATAATAAATATTAATTTGGTAAAAAAAATAAATGTTTAAAAAAATTATCAATTTTACATAATTTTATCTTTGGTGAGTAGAAATAGCTTTTAAAAATTCAAAAATATTTTTTTAACATATATTTTTTGTCAAATTAATTTATATTTATAAAATTGACGACTTTGCCCTTGAAATTGAGTAATGGTATTTTCAATTATCCTTATTTGGAACAAAATTCAAAATTTAAGATCAAATGTGTCAAAATTAAAAAGTTAAGGACCAAAGTTACACAACCCAAACAATAGGGACTGTTAGTGTAATTTGCCCAAGTATTAATTTGTTTTGGTGTTCAATTAATTATGACTATAGTTTTTTTTCCCTAACATATTGTCAGTTAGTATTAATAATAAATGATTTATGTTCTATTACGAAGATTTTATATTCAATCGTTTATACTTTTCTTTACTAGAATTTGTACAAATTTTAAAATGTAAAATTGAAATAAAGTGTACTACTATTGAGTCAAAAACTAATCTGGGAGAAGTTATACTATTGAGTCTCAAACTAATCTAAATTGAAGGTTGATTGGGACTTAATAGCCATTTGGATTTGTTAGTGTCATGAACATTATTGTCGAGACAAAGGCCTTTCAAATAATATTTGCTAAGGTCGTGTTAAGATTTTAGATTGGTAGAAAGAACATAAAAGTAAAGCAAAAGAGAAATAAAATATAAGCTAATTTTTATTTTCCCTCCGTAAATTCAAGATTCAAATACCACCAAAATCACTCTGCATGCATGACAAAAGATGGAAAAAACAATGTATAAAGCTATAGACCATAGTAATGATAATGAGGCTATGATGTTAAGGACATGGTTCTCCTACAAAAAGTAATGGCACAAATTCTTGAAATTTCCAGTAGCAAAACAACATTATTACCAATTTAATTTGAATATTACACATGAAGTTCATTTTATCTTATAGAATAAAGCATACCTTGTTGACAAAGATAACACAATGCATTTTCATCCAAGCCACCATGTATTCAAGATCTACAAAAGAAAATACGGTTACACTCAAGTTAGTCGCTATAATACCAAATGAGAATAATACGTTAAAAAAATAAAATACAAAAAAATTAATTAGTACCATTGCATCATAAAAAGCATGAAAAACAAATGTTTAAATTTTTTTTTAATGATGTAAAAATATATGAAAAGGTCTCATTTAGAGTTTTGGGTTCACACCCCATAAAAGGTTAAGCTGCCTCTGGCTTCAAATATGTTGGACCTAAAAACATTCTTTTGTAAGCCCCCATTGTTTCCTCAATTTTTGACAGACTTTAATATGTTTCTCAACAATAACAATGTTTATGCATACAAATTCAATGAGGTACATAACATCTCAATAATTCTCATTTGCCTTCTCAGTGCGTCTTTCATACAAAAATCAGATTTTAATAGCCATTCTCTCAAATTTAAATAGTTTGAGAAGCCCCGAAGAATCCACAAGCTCGCCAATTTTTTGTGCAGCAGCAGCCAAAGTTGCATCGCTTTTGCAGAAAGCAAACCTGATATATCTCTCCTGATAACTATAATCAACTGGAGGAAATTTCTCCAAATACAAGTTTCTATGGAAAAAACCAAACCCTGGCACGGCCACCACTCCCGCTTGTTTAATTAGTTCCTCGACAAATTCCATCTGAAAGCATCAAATTCGGTGTTAATCCATTAAAACATAACACAACATAACAATAATAAGATATTTAGATGATCTCAAAACTAGACTAAACTCTTAAAAAAACCCTATACTCCATCACATAAAATCTGATCAATCCAGTTCGCTGTGGACATACATGAGACTATTTGGTGCAATTTTTTGCATGTGGAAAACAGAAAATCAAAAAGAAAAAGCTAAAAGCATCTCTCCCCCAACTTTCAAATAATAAATTTTGTTCAGGTTATTTAAACAATTTTTGCCTCACAATATGTAAACAGAAACTGACCAAACAATCTGACACAATTTCCTAAAATAAACAAAACTATAAGCAGTTTCATAAGCTGAACCAAAGTAAGAAGCTTCATGGATCATCCAATGTCACAAACACCTGCTTAAGTTTCACATGAGTAGTCAAACTACAATGAGTTTCTCCAAGTTCATCAAGTTTTTCCTTGGAGTATGCATCAGCTATAAACAGATTAAATAGCTTATATGAATAACTAAGAAAAAGAAAACAGGGTCAACTTCTTTCCTAAACTTGGTTGATTGCAAATTGCAATAGTGTTTTGGTCTAGCAAGCCAAAAAGGATTTTGCTATATAACAAGCAGCCATTATATAACAGATAACAAACTTGTGTTGGGTCGATCTTAATTTACGGTTCATTATTCAAGTGCCAGTTGCATTCAAAAGTTTTCCTACTGGTATACAAACACACACTTCAGAACCTCAGTTAAGATCTAGGAAAAAATGACCAAATTACAAGAACTATAATAATGAATTTGAATCAAACCAGGTTCAGGCCCAAAAAATAAAAAATACCACCAAGTTGAAAATCCATAGAATGGATCCAACCACGAAGGAAAAAATTTTAGTGTTTTATTATCTTGAACTAAATGCGGCTATTTTAAAGTAAAATCAAATTTTAACAATTGTGCCCTATAACTGAACCAAGAAATGAAAAGGCAAGTTCTATAAATATGATGCATTATAATTTATAATATTGTATAAACTAATGTATGATGATGAGAATATTGAACAAATAAGTTATCTTGATGGATAGTTCCTATTGTCATGCCCTAGAGGCAATACTTCTAAAACATAACCAACTCCAGAAATAACCACAATAGGTTGTCATTCATCCAATTTCAAAAAAGCAAATACAATAGTATATACATGTATTGGATTCTTGATATGAATAGACTAGGTAAAGAAGACACGTACATCAGATAGCGCACAATTCTCAGGAAGCTCCGCAAATAGAAAAAATGAACCTTGAGGCTTAAATTGAACCTGGAAGCCAACCCCAGCAAGCAATTTGATAGTGTAATTTCTTCTTGATTCATAATCCTAAGCACCAATGCAAATACGCATTACAAAAACAATTTGCATTATCATGAATACAAATTTTATCAGAGTAAGCTATTGCATGCAATCAAATTGACAAATTAGTGCTTTCTAAATCCTACTCTTCTCAACGATTCAAAGTATTCTAAAGGGCTTCTCAAAGCAGTCAAGGCAGCTTCCTGGAAAGGTGCTGGAGCAGAGTCCGTTAATTTAGTATGGATATTTCTAATTGCAGATGCAATACATGCAGGAGCAACTGCCCATCCAATTCTCCAACCTGATAAAGACACACCCATGTTAACATAGTGCAGATCAAAACATGAGCACACACGGAAACCGTTTACCAGTCATTTAAGTAGTGATAGAACCTTAGAAGCACCGACACTCCAAGATGGGTGCCATGTCTGTCTGACACTATGGGGAGCGTGTGTCCATGTGTCCAACACGCCACGTGGCGTGTCAAAATTTTTAATTATTATTTGTTTGTAGGACACAATGGGAACACTTCATGGACAAGCATCCTGTGTTTGGACACACCTCAGGACACTTTTGCAGTTTTTTATATAGTTTCACAAAGCTGATTTGGAATCAAAGTAAAATATATGGAAATAAAGCAAAAATAAGTACAAAAAAATTAAAATACACCCAAATATACAACGACGCCTCTCATATCTATGAATCCTAAATTTATATTTTTATACACAGTAAATAAAAAAATTTGTTGAATCCTCGCCATGCCCGTGTTTTATTTTTTGAGAATCAACATGTCCTGTGTTTGGATCCGTGCTTCTTAATAGAACATAATGCACACATGGTAGAGGAACTTCAACAGAATTTCAAAAGAACATTCCAAGATTAGCACATTTAAAGCACAGTTCTGGTAGGTAAGATATTGAAGCATGCCTGTAACACTGTAAGTCTTGGACAGGGAAGATGTGATGATAGTTCGCCTTTGCATTCCTGGAAGTGAGGCCAAGGATATATGTTTCTCATTGTCATAAGTTATATGTTCGTATACCTGCAGAACATTGACAAAAACATAAAAGATCAATTGAAACAAACAGTAGATTTTGGTTAACAAATGAAAGAAAAATCAGCAACTTCAAATTCACTTTTCTTGGTAATTAGCATTAAAAATAGGCCATTACATGTGGAAAGTTGTTTAGGGGATAGTAGATTTCGCTCATTAGAGAAAAATCCAATACCGGTAAAGAAATCTTCACTGTTAATAGTGATGTTTAGGTCTCTAATCATGGAATTAGCACACTGAAGATGCATGATGTTCTAAGAAGATGAATTGACTGATTAGCACTATGACTGTTTTTTCACTTATTTGCTGTCTTTTCATATTTCATTAGGAAATAACATGTCATTCTCATAACATCTTCTCATGCATATTTGTGAACAAAAGTGACAAATTGACTAAAAGAAACAACAATATTGACAGTAATAGTTTTCATAAAGGTTTAGTCTCCTGAAGTCACAACCTGGTCCTCAAAGATCTTTCACTTTCCCTAATTTGATGAACTTCTTTTCCTCTTTTTATGAATTGTTTAAGGAAATTCTTTCCCTTCTATTGAAACCCTCTCCCTTTTTGTGTTAAATATATAGATAGTCCAGCTGCTTTAGTAGCTCTTGTCATCTATTCTAATCAGGTTAGGTTGTGCTTCTCAAACCACTTCAACTTGCCATTTCAATCTTCAACAGTGTATGCAATTGTGACCAGATGGTAACCACTGTCATACAAAAAGGACTGTTGGGACATTTGATCTGCTAAACAAAACCTTTCATATGGTCATCTTGATCTTGTTTTTGCTGTTTCCGAAACCCATTATTGTTCAGTTGACCACATGGGGTTAGACAAACCATGCATGTTTCTACTTCTTGTACTTGAAAGTTGAAACTATGCAACTGAGAATACCTTATGGTATTCAACTAGGTCTCATTCTTATTAATTTATTAATAAGTATCATCCACCATCTCTGTGTCCATCTTTCCCCTTGACATGAACTATGTTCTAACGCAGTTTGTATGCACTCCGTCTAGTCATAAACAATAAATGTCTCCAACTTTAGCAACAACTGAAGATGCATGATGTTCTAAGAAGATGAATTGACTGGTTAGCACTATGACTGTTTTTTCACTTATTTGCTGTCTTTTCATATTTCATTAGGATATAACTCATAACATCTTCTCATGCATATTTGTGAACGAAAGTGACAAATTGACTAAAAGAAACAACAATATTGACAGTAATAGTTTTCATAAAGGTTTAGTCTCCTGAAGTCACAACCTGGTCCTCAAAGATCTTTCACTTTCCCTAATTTGATGAACTTCTTTTCCTCTTTTTATGAATTGTTTAAGGAAATTCTTTCCCTTCTATTGAAACCCTCTCCCTTTTTGTGTTAAATATATAGATAGTCCAGCTGCTTTAGTAGCTCTTGTCATCTATTCTAATCAGGTTAGGTTGTGCTTCTCAAACCACTTCAACTTGCCATTTCAATCTTCAACAGTGTATGCAATTGTGACTAGATGGTAACCACTGTCATACAAAAAGGACTGTTGGGACATTTGATCTGCTAAACAAAACCTTTCATATGGTCATCTTGATCCTGTTTTTGCTATTTTCGAAACCCATTTCAGTCGGCCACATGGGGTCTGACAAACCATGCATGTTTCTACTTCTTGTACTTGAAAGTTGAAACTATGCAACTGAGAATACCTTATGGTATTCAACTAGGTCTCATTCTTATTAATTTATTAATAAGTATCATCCACCATCTCTGTGTCCATCTTTCCCCTTGACATGAACTATGTTCTAACGCAGTTTGTATGCACTCTGTCTAGTCATAAACAATAAATGTCTCCAACTTTAACAATAGAAATCAATGATCCAACCATGTTCAGCAGCAGTTCTTTTTCATTCTTCAGCCAAATTCACACTCATTTGATGCGATTGGAACTCACACTAATACAGATGACCCAATATAGGACTCATGTTACACAATTCAAAACCGAGAATATAAACTCAAAGCAAGTCTTGTGTCCTCATTTCATAGTTATGGTTTGTGCACATCTAAGAAACCCAATGAATTTGACATATTTTTTCCATTTACAAGTTATGAGACAGCTAAATCATTTAAGTCTGTTATACAACAAAGCCACAAGGAGAATGAAAATAACTATCACTTCATGTGGAATAACTATAATACTCGACAGAGTATAAGAGAGATGATGTTGATATTCATACTTCGTCAGTTATAGCTAGACAATCTCTGGTGTGGCAAGCTCCAGCAATTGTCTCAAGCTCATTCTTGGTGAATACTTTTCCAGTTGGATTATGAGGGCTGTGCAATTATATATCAGTACATTTTTAACTCGATATAAAGATATCATAAAAATAAATAAAAAAAAAACAATGCCCAATTAAGACACATTAATGTGTGTTTGGGAGAGAAAAGCATAATTACAAAAAATTGAACATTTCTAAACATTATTCAGAAAAACTTCAAGTAATGGTTCAAGCATCATTGGAGCTGTCTGCGCAGTGTGCACAATAATTTTGATAATGCAAACTTCCATTGAATTCCAAACGAATTTCAGCCACTTAACCTAGAAGCTTAATGCCCTCTGAACTGAATATACAATTACACAAAGAAAAGAGATAGTAAATTTATCATCACAAATCACAACATACACCAACCATATGACCAAACTAAATGTTGTGCTACACTTTATGAGAAAATGGCAACAATAACAGAAAATTACTAATGGTGGACAAAAGATGGCTACTTATTTGCTACAAATCTTTTATTGTAATTTCTGTCCTCCAAGCCTTTCGTATATTGCTTTTGCAGTAGTGGTGTTCTAGATTCAATATCAATTTCATTGAGTTCGGAATCGATGCATAGAGAAAATTAAGTTTATAGACAATACTTCGCATTGATCTGGAACTTTATGCACTACGGTGCTAAATTGTCATTTTTCTATCCACTCAAAATCAGCACCTAGTTCACAAACTCAATATTTTGTAGGTCCTAGTATAAACCTCACAAGGAAAATAATATCATACCACTGATACCAGTTAATCATGAAGGCATTAGAGTCAAGACAACAGTGCCAACTGAAGATCACAACTTCCAAACATCTAATGTAATTGGAATTGTTCTTTTGGAAACCCTATTATGTTCATATATGTGCATATTGTGACTTTTTGACCTTTATGTATATTGCGAGTCATTATATTTGAATCCTTGGTTTCAAAGATAATACACAAGAAATTTCTGCACCTGTTCAATACTATAGCTTTTGTTCTAGTAGTAAAGGATTTCATGAGTTTGTCAGCATCCAAAGTCCAAAAAGGTGGATCAAGGGGCACATATACCTGTTCATTTTTTTATTAGTACCAACAAAAAGTATGGATCTCTGAAATATTGATACAGAAGTGACAAATTTTAGCATTAAAAATTGACCAGATCTATGTTAAAAGGATAATGCAGGGAGATAACCCTGGGTGAAGTAAAGAAGCTTACTGGAATGCCTCCAGCCATACTGATACATGCTTCATATGTCTCAAACGAAGGATCAAACAAAATGACTTCATCACCTTTGTCTATTGCTGTCCAACAGAACAATTAAACAATTATACACAAGTCCAGCAAAGACACCACACAGTACGTAAGAATCTCACATAATAAACCATCTAAGATAAGAAAACATACTTGCAAACATTGTTGCTGCGAATGCCTCAGATTGACCACAGCAAATAGCTATATCCGTTAGAGGGTTGAAATCTAAGCCATGCATATGTTTCATAATCTTAGCCACATGGTCACAAATTCCTTGAACATGCCTTGAGTAACCAAAAAAAGCCTTCAATTTTTCAACCAAAAAGAAAAGAAAAAGGGAAAATTTCAAAGGAATGTATAACTATCATTGGGTAATATTGTTACTGAGCTAGTCTGTTTCAATGACTTGCTTAATATAACACATGAGATGAATGTACGAGCATGCCAACCCTAAACAATATTGAAAGTGGCATCTAAAAATAGGAACACCAAACATTCTATAATCAAAATACCATGGTAGAGCGGGTACTGTAAAAACTTTATTCTCAAATTTTAGCTACTTTAGGAAGTGAAAACTCCAAAATTCATCTCCAACAACCTCCCTGAGGCTGTGTTTGGTTCCTGGATTTGGGAAACAATTTGGAAAATGAAAGGGAAAAGGTGTATGAAATGTAATTATATTTTATTTATATTTCACTTACTTTTTTCTTTTTTCTTTCCAAATCCCTACCTAAATGCTTAAACCAAACACAGCGTAAAGAAGCTCCTAAATTTACCAATAGCAACTCTTATAGCTCACCATTAGACAAGCTCAAATGCTCCATTTGGTTCACTGGAATGAGATGGCAATGAAATTCCGTAGGCTTTTCTATGGAATGATAAATGGTGATTCTATTTATAATATATTTATTTTATTTTATTTTAGTCAACCAAACATGAGAATAGACACTTTCATATAACGATAATTCTACTCCACTAGCAATGTAAAAATTTGAGTAAAACTAATTTACTTACTGGAAATTTAGCCAAAACCTTTCTATTGGACCCTTGTTTGGTGAAAATAATAGCTCAGTTTATTTTACTTCATAAACCCCTGAGTAAAAACAAAATAAAATATCATTTTTTTTTAATAATATTTTCATGTTACTGTCAAATAGAATAATATGTTATTATATATATATCAATTTTGACGGTAACAAATTATTATTATTTTTTATTTAAAATTTTAATAAATAACATAAATCTTATTTGATAGATCAAATAATTTTAAAAATATTAATTTTATTAAAAATTGACATCTAAAAAGTTATATTATTTTAGTACTCGTAGTATGTGTTAATTTTTCAAAACAAACATTTTGTACTTACCCTTAATCCATTAAAATTTTATTACAAGGGGCTCTGATCAAATCCCCTTAGACATATTTCTGAAAATTTTATTACAAGGGACTCTGATCAAATCCCCTTAGACATATTTCTGAAAATTTTATTAAGAGTGGCTTTTGACTAAATCCCCCTTTACTTCCTTTACTTTTTTCAGACATATTTCTCAACCTACCAAAGGGAACATGAAAATAAAAGCCGAACAATGATTCATAGTAAGTTAATATTATAATATGAAGTTCCAAGGATGTGATTCATGGCTAAAGTTAAGTTGAAGGGAAGTTTGGGAGGGAGAGAAACCTGTATTGATTGAAGTCGGAAACAATGGCGGAGATGGCGGCGTTCTTGATGTGGGGAGGAGCAGGGAAATCGGGGAAGCCTTCGGCGAGGTTGACGGCATTGCATCTCTGGGCAAGTAGCGACAGTTGTTGAATTGGAGACGGAGTTAGAATCTTCGCCACTGCCGACAGTTTCTCCGCCATGCCTGTTCGAAGGAGGAGGAGGAGCAGGGAATAACATATGACTCCCTTCAATTCATAACTGGGGCTGTTTGGATAACCTCAAATAAGCCACCTATTTTTTACTCTTTTTTTTTTTAAATAAATTGTTTTTCAAAATAATTTTTTTACTTTTCTTATATGTGTAAACGAATTTATAGGGCGTGGTTTGAGTTATAGGTTGTTTATTTCTTAATATTTAAAAATAATCATATAATTTTTTTTTGTGGTTTGTGATTAAAGTATACAATTATGTCCGTTAACATTTTAATGAAAAAATTAAAATATTTTTATATTTTGATCATTTGTTTATAAAGTGATATGCACTGTAACCTATTTACTTTATTTTTTGTGTGATTTACCTCATTGAAATTTAAAAATGAACATATAACCTTCTTATATCTACCACATGTTTCATATTTATTATGAAGTTAGACAAAATGTTTAACGATATTTAGGGAGTGTTTGGAAAGAAAAAAAATAGTCAAATTTAGGCTAAAAATCACAAAAAGACAAAATAGGCTAAAATAGCTAATAAGACAAAATATCACATCAAACCCATAATCATTTCATTTTTTCTCTCACAAACATCACATCCAATCACAAAAAAATTCAATCATCTTCCCAAACACAAAAATTTTAGCCTACTTAAAATAGTCAAAAACTAAAATAGCCTACTAAAATAGTCACTTCCCAAACGAGGCCTTAATAGTACATTTCAATCCACAAATCACAACCTCATGTGATTATGGTGATAAACAATACATAACCCAAATCACAGGATAGTAAAGTAAAGTTTGCCCAAATTTATAAAGTAACTTTTAAAAGATTAAAAAAAAAATAAAGTCCAAACAAATATTATTTGAATCTTTTCTAAAGTTTTTAATTTTTGCTTAAATTATAATCTTTTTTTAAATAATAAAAAAAATAAATAAATAAAAAAACCCCACTAAAGCTAAATGCCACCCAAACACCAAACCATAGGAAAATTAAATTAATGACAAAAAATTAAAGACAAATTTTACTCCACCTCTTTTATGATTTGGCTCATGCGTGATAACCTCTTGTTGGGGATGTTTGGGAAGAAAAAAAATAGCTCAATTTAGGTTAAAATTCACAAAAAGATAAAATAGACTAAAATAGCTAATAAGACAAAATATCACATCAAACACATAATCATTTCACTTTTTCTCTCACAAACATCACATCCAACCATAAAAAAATCCAATCATCTTCCCAAACACAAAAATTTTAGCCTACTAAAATAGCTAAAAACTAGGGGTGCAACTCGGGCGGGTTCGGTCGGGTTGGGGGTCTACCCAAGCCCGACCCGAATTGTATTTGGCACTGCCCAAGCCCGCCCAAGCCCGACCATGAACTCGAACATTGTTACCCAAGCCCGGCCCAAGCTTTGTATTTTAAACTCGGGTTGCCCGAATTGCCCGAGTTCAGAAACCTGTAGGTAGATCTAAGGGTAGACATAAAAGATGCTAATCTAATGGTAGAAAACTAACCCAAAAAAAATATAAATTAAAAATTAAGACTAACTCTTTTACTTAATAGAAGACTAACCAAAAAATAAAAATAAAAATTAAGACTAACTCTTTTACTTAATTTATATATATTACATAATTTATTAAATTATATATATATTATATATTACATATTATATAATTTATATAATATATTAAATTGAATTCGGGTTCGGGTTGCTCGGGTTGGCCATTGGTTCTGCCCAAGCCCGGCCCGAATTGCAATTCGGGCATCAAAAATCTGCCCAAGCCCGTCCAGATTACAAGATATAGTTGCCCAAGCCCTAAAAAAACTCGGGCTGGGCTCGGGTTGCTCGGGTTGAGCCCGCCCGAGTTGCACCCCTACTAAAAACTAAAATAGCCTACTAAAACAGCAACTTCCCAAACGAAGCCGTTATTTTAAACAATTACATAATTATTTGTGATTTATAAACTAAAATGATTTATTATTAAATTTAACAGTAAGTATGAAACATGCATTAGACATAACAACTACGTGTTCATTTATAAATTTTATAAATAAATCACACATGGGAGAAAATATAGGATTCGTTTGGGAAGTTAGTTGGTTTTTTGAATTTTTGGCTTTTTAGCTTTATTGGTTATTTTAGCATGGGGCTAAAAAATCTAGTTTTGGAAAGGTTTTTGACTTTTTGTGAGAGAAATAATATAATGATTATGGATTAGATGTGATATTTTGTCTTATTAGATTAAAAAACTTATTTTGCTTTTTGTGGTTATTTTAGCCAAAAAAGCTCCAAACCTCTCTTCCCAAACGGAGCCATAAAGAGTTAAAGTGAATTTTCCCTTAAAAAATGAAAAAAAAAATGTTTTCAATGGTGAGTTTACTTATAAACAATAGTATTTTAATATCTGATATTAAGCTATAAACATTTGGGTGGTGCACTTCAATTTATAAACAATAAAGGGGTTATGTTATTATTTTCAACTGATAGAATAATAATAAGCTATGGGCTAAACTTTAAACAGATGAAAAAAAAATTGTATTAAATTTAAATTCAATCAACTATAACTAGCTTGGTTTTAAAAGACAGAAAAACAAGAGTGTTAGATCTCACATTTATATAAGGGTAAATTACATTTACGTCCTTTGAAATTTCTGACAAATACAGGGACCTCCCATATAGTTTGAATAATTACAGTAACCCCCCACTTTACCTGACAATGTCAAGATTCTCCCAAAATTTGACTGTCGTCTATACACCTAACCGACCCTGCTGATGTCATCAAATGTAAGCACTAAAATGCCTATAATGTCCTCAAGTGCCCAATTCAAGAACTGAAAATGTTTTTAAAAAATTTTATTTTTTATTTCAAATATATAATTTTTATTTAAATATTTGATTTTATTTTATAAATATTTTAATATTTTAATATTTTAAACTCAAAACATAATTTCGCACTCAAATTGTAACCAAACACATAACTTAAAACTCAATTCAAAAATTATTTTCAAACCTCATAACCAAACACATAACTCGAAACTCCACACTATTTTCAAAACTCTGCACTCAAATCATAACAAAACACATAACAAAAAAATTAAAATATTTAAAAATATATTTATAAAATAAAATTAAAATAAAATGTAATTTTTTCTTTAGTTTATAATTTTTCAATGAAATTGATTTTTTTTTTTGGGTAAATTACATTTACCTCCCCTGAGGTTTCTGACAAATACAGTGACCTCCCCTGTGGTTTGAATAATTACAGTAACCTCCCCTACTTTACCTGACAATATCAAGATTCTCCCCTGCTGTCAAAAATCACTAAATGGTGTCACTTTTTCCTTCAGAAATTACTCTATTGCCCTTCCTTTTAAAAATATTAAAAAATGTTTTTGGATTGGAGGATAAGTTTAGAGTGTTTGGAACAGTATTTTTAGATTTATTTTTTAAAAATATTAAAAAATGTTTTAAAAAAAATTATTTTTTATTTTGTATATATAATTTTTATTTAAATATTTTATTTTATTTTGTAAATATTTTAATTTTTTAATTTTAATATTTCAAACTCAAAACACAATTTCACACTCAAATCGTAACCAAACACATAACTCAAAACTCAATTTAAAAATTATTTTCAAACCTCATAACCAAACACATAACTCGACACTCCACACTACTTTCAAAACTCTACACTCAAATCGTAACCAAACATATAACAAAAAAATTAAAATATTTAAAAATGTATTTATAAAATAAAATAAAATAAAATATTTAAAATAAAAACTATATATTTAAAATAAAAATTATATATTTAACATAAGTTTGGTTATGAGTTTTGAGTTATATATTTGGTTAAGACTCTATGAGTTTTGAAAAGTTTTTTGAAAATTTCTAATTGTAATTGTGATTCTAAAAGAAAACCAAACATGTTTCTAAAAAAAATATTTTTTCGGAACATGTTTTTACTCAAAATTCAATTCAAAAATTATTTTCAAAAACTCATAACCAAACACATATTTTAAAACTCAATTCAAAACTCTTTCAAAATCCAAAACCAAACTTTTTTCCAAAACTTTATTTTAAAAGAAAAAATTTTAAAAAAAATTATTTTATTTTTTAAAATTATTTTTACAATCATGATTTGAGTATGGAGTCGTATTTTGAGTTATGAGTTTTGAATAGAGAAAATTTGTTTGGTTATAAATTTTGAAATTTTTCTAATTTATTTTTTTAGGGTAAATATTTTATATTTATTTTAATGTGCATTATATTTCATACATTTATGTGTTGTATTTTTTAATATTTTAAATATTAAAAATTTAAAAAAATATATTTTTTATTTTAAATGTATAATTTTTATTATAAATATTTTTAAATTATTTTATTTTATGATTGTGTTGGTAAATCATGGGCAGTGGCAGTGAACAAAGGGTTTTATGGTTATGGTAGAACAAAGGGTTTTTTGTCTTTTTGCAGGCAAAAGCAAGGGTAATGTGGTAATTTTCTATATGATACTAATGCCGTTTGTGCAAAATAGATAGAATGGGGAAATCTTGACATTGTCAGGCAAAGTAGGGGAGATTACTGTAATTATTCAAAACACAGTGGAGGTCCTTGTATTTGTCAGAAACCTCAGGGGAGGTAAATGTAATTTACCCTTTATATAATTGTTATTTCTTTATTGTAAAAGCATCTCTAATCCTTTATATTTTATGTTATTAAATTTAAATTTGATAAAAATACTAAAAAATCATATGTAATTATATTATAAAAACATTAATCAAATAAAAAAGAGGCAATTTTTTAAATTAAATTAATAACTCATTAAAAAAGATGAAGGAGTAGATAAAATTTGTTTCCAAATGAAATTTGAGATAAAATAATTTAAAAGACTAAAATATTTCATATCAACGATTCAGTTGCTGTGATTGAAGAGACGTTTTGACCGGACAGGTAGAGCCGGCGTGAATTTAGTTCGGTTGGAGAGGCTAAGAGAGTCTTTTAGCTCGGTCGGAAAGGCTAAAGAGTTTTTTAGCTCGGTGGGTAGATAAGGT